GCCCAAAGTGTTCTTTTGTAAGGTTAAAGTCTGGGTTGTGGTTATGTCTTTCTTTGTTTATTTCTCTTTCTTTCTTTCTCTCTCCTTCCTTCCTTCTTTTTTTTTTTTTTAGAGAAAGGTCTCTCTGTTGCCTACCTCACCCTCCCTAGCATACTACAGGTGAACACCATCACACCTAGCTAATTTTTTCTATTGTTTTCAGACGTGAGGTCTCTCAAGGAATCCTCCCACCTTGGCATCCCAAAGTGCTAGGATTACAGTGTGAGCTACCATGCCCAGCTGTCCAATTCATTCTTAACTAAGCAGCCAGAGGGCTTATAATACAAAATATGATCATATCACTCTCTTACTTAAAACCCTCTAATGAGTTTCTATAACATGAGAAATCCAAATTAAAATAAAATATAAAATGAAATCCATGGTTAATTAATCTGATCTGACCTCTTTTTATTTCTCCTACAGTATACATACCCAACCACCCGCCCTCTTTTTTTTTTTTTTTCCTGGGCTCAAGCGATTCTCCTGCCTCCCAGGTAGCTGGGGCCACAGCCGCTCATCACAACGCCTGGCTATTTTTTGGTTGCAGCCGTCATTGTTGTTTGGTGGGCCCAGGCTGGATTCGAACCCCCCAGCTCAGGTGTATGTGGCAGGTGCCTTAGCCGCTTGAGCCACAGGTGCTGAGCCTCTTTTTCTGTTGTTGTTGAGACAGAGGCTCACTATGTCACCTCCCGTAGAGTGCTGTGGTGTCACAGCTCACAGCAACCTCAAACTCTTGTGCTTAAGTGATTCTTTTACCTCAGCCTCCCAACTAGCTGGGACTACAGGCGCCTGCCACAATGCCCAGCTGTTTTTGTTGCAGTTTGGCCGGGCTGGGTTTGAACCCACCACCCTCGGTATATGGGGCCAGCGCCCTACCCACTGAGCCACAGGTGCTGCCCCTTAGTTCTTTTTAAAAAGACACAGGGTGTTTCTCTAGATATGGGTATGTGAGGATAGAACTGAGAAGCAAACTAGCCCACAGGCTAAGATCTACAGATCAGCAAGATAGAAAGGAACTTACAGATTAAACTCCTTGTTCTACTCTTTCCCCCCTTTTCACTACTGCACTTGACTAGGCTTAATAAACAAAAAGAAAAAAGTAAAGATAGAAAGGATCGTGATCCTTGAACATATTGCTGAGCCATTTAATTTACAAGTTCCAGAAATACCCTAATTTAGGACTCTGGTTGTATAAGATAATAAATCACTTTATTGGTCAAACTAATTTTCGTTGGGTTTTTTGCTACTCATCTTAGAGAAAGTAATTTTCAAGCTGAACAAAAACCAAGGGGAATAGAGTTCTAGGTAGAGGGAACAACCAATGCTTAGAACAGGAAAGACCTAGTATACTCAGGGGGGAAGGAAGGTAGTGAGTGAGCAAGAGGGAGGGTGGTGGCTCGGCGCCTGTGGCTCAAGCGGCTAAGGCGCCAGCCACATACACCTAAGGTGGCGGGTTCGAATCCAGCGCCCGGAACCGCCAGAAAATGAGATCTAGGAGGAGTATCAAT